GGACAGTCTCAGATATATCGGAGTCCTCTGGTCCTAAACCAGACAGTCTCACAAGAGTCAATTGGTCCTAAACCGGAGAGTGTCAAATACAAAAGAGGCCACTGGTCCAAAAACCAGACATTCTCAGATACAACAGAGTCCCCTGGTCCTGAGCTGGACAGTCTCAGATACTTCAGAGTCCTCTGGTCCTGAGCCGGATATTCTCAGATACTTCATGGTCCTCTGTTCCTGAGTCATACAATCTCAGATACCTCAGAGTCCACTGGTCCTGAGCCGGATAATCTCAGATACATAAGAGTCCTATGGTCCTAAAGTGGACAGTCTCACAAGAGTCCACTGGTCCTAAAATGGACAGTCTCAGATACTTCATGGTCCTCTGTTCCTGAGTCATACAATCTCAGATACATCAGAGTTCATTGGTCCTAAGCCGGATAATCTCAGAAACATCAGAGTCCACTGAGCCTGAACTGGACAGTCTCAGATATATCAGAGTCCTCTGTAGGTCAACTGGACAGTCTCACAAGAGTCCACTGGTCCTGAGCTGGACAGTCTCAGATACATCAGAGTCCTGTGGTCCTGAGCCGGATATTCTCAGATAATTCATGGTCCTCTGTTCCTGAGTCATACAATCTCAGATACATCAAAGTACATTGGTCCTGAGCCGGATAATCTCAGAAACAACAGAGTCCACTGGTCCTGAGCTGGACAGTCTCAGATACATCAGAGTCCTGTGGTCCTATACCAGAAAGTCTAAGATACAATAGTCTATTGGCTCTAAACCGCACATTCTCAGATAAATCAGAGTCCCCTGTTCCTGAGCTGGACAGTCTCAGATACTTCAGAGTCCACTGGTCCTGAACTGGACAGTCTCAGATACATCAGAATCCTCTGGTCCTAAAGCGGAGAGTCTCGCAAGAGTAAACTGGTCCTAAACTGGACAGTCTCTGATTCAACAGAGTCCACTGGTACTAAGCTGGACAGTCTCAGATACTTCAGAGTCCTCTGGTCCTGAGCCGGATATTCTCAGATACTTCATGGTCCTCTGTTCCTGAATCATACAATCTCAGATACATCAGAGTTCATTGGTCCTAAGTCGGATAATCTCAGAAACATCAGAGTCCACTGGTCCTGAGCTGGACATTCTCAGATACATCAGAGTCCTCTGGTCCTAAAGCGGACAGTCTCACAAGAGTCCACTGGTCCTAAACTGGACAGTCTCACAAGAGTCCACTGGTCCTAAACTGGACAGTCTCGCAAGAGTCCACTGGTCCTAAACTGGACAGTCTCAGAAAGAACAGAATCCCCTGGTACTGAGCTGGACAGTCTCAGATACTTTAGAGTCCTCTGGTCCTGAGCCGGATATTCTCAGATACCTCATGGTCCTATGTTACTGAGTCATACAATCTCAGAAACATCAGAGTCCATTGGTCCTGAGCCGGATAATCTCAGAAACATCAGAGTCCACTGGTCCTGAGCTGGACATTCTCAGATACATCAGAGTCCTGTGGTCTTAAACCAGAAAGTCTAAGATACAAGAGTCTACTGGCCCTAAACCACACATTCTAAAATAAAACAGAGTCTACTGGTACTGAGCTGGACAGTCTCAGATACTTCAGAGTCCTCTGGTCCTGAGCCGGATATTCTCAGATAC